CAGGCCTGCGATGGTTTTATTGTGTTGAAATTTATACTTGTTTTACAGTAATTTCTGTACGCTGAATCCGAAAATGATATCAATTTTTCTCCATCACGTACATATTTTGACAAAACATCTTATGTACTTTTACATAATTGAATCATTTTCATTGAAATCGGGTAACATTTTTTTATGCTTAAAATTTTGACAACCACTGGCTATATATTTCTCTAGACCAATCGGACGTGAGATTCTTATCGATCGTTCCATAACCCAAGAGAAACACACCAGTAGCATATAAACGGTTAACAGGCCACATGACGTGTCATTTCTGGATAACATTTGTTTGCGTGCACTTTAACATTATTATTTGTTTTCATTAGTATTTATTCATCGCTATGACAACAAAAGGTTGCGTAAATGATCCAAATATATTCAGTTATATTTGTGGTAAATTTGTTGTGAATGTGATCTAAATAAGTTTTTTCTTCCCGATTTGTAAAAAAATCCTTACGTGATAGAGAAAAAAAGAATATTGTTTTGAAATCTGCGTAGCTGAATTATGGAAAATCCATTATTAAAGCCAAAACAACTTTTATGAAGTATAAATTCGCAGGTCTGTGTAATTAATTAAAATTACGTAATACTACGCAATATGTAGACGCCACCAGTACACCGGTATTGGAAAGCATTAAAGCAAGTCTAATATAAGGGTAAATTACACTTCAAATCTATCTCTTGGTTTTCCACAAGTCATTGGCATAGACCAAAAATCTGATGAGGTCTTGTATCAGAAGAAAAATCGTTTTGTACGTCATGGCCATAAGAGTTATTTGTTGCTCTCCAGTTTTGACGTTTGCTGCCATATTTGTGAGCTTTTCTCTTGTCTGTCCTGTTTGTTACTTCAGTATCAATAAGTTTCATTATATTTTGTATTTCTGTCAAAATACGTCCTAATCTATATTGTGATATGTATGTAATATTACATTGTGAACAAATGTAACACCAACATTTAAAGTTTTTGTTTCTTAAAAATACAAAATCAGGATAATTTTCTTTTAAGCAAATGTTTTACGTATATTTTAATAAATTATCACGATAATGATTATCATTAACGTGCTATTCGTATTGTAACTAAGCTTTACGATACTTAGATAAATATTAGAACTGTTAATTATACCAGCTCTCATCGATTCCAAAGTCTGAAGAATTCCTTGTTTATCTTCACATAAATACATTAGTTTGTAAAAGAAACCAGCACTGCTGTAATGACGTCCTGATAACCAATAGTCAATTCCAAATGAAAATACATAGTTGATAACGTAGCAAATTTATTAGGGATTTTAATGGTCTGTAGTACAGTAAATCAACACGGCAAGAGAAATTTCATGTAGTAACACCATAAAGTAGGCTTAACTAAGTTTGTCTTCATTGGGCAGCAGCCTTGATCTCCACAAGGCTGTGTTCATCCACTGTATTGAGAAAGAAATTTCTGTGCTTCTTCTTCTGTGATCAAACCTAGTGAATACAACAGAAAAATAAATAATCAACTCGTCCTTTATATGTAAACATATATTTCTTTTGAACACATGAGAATTCTCTGTTTTTATATACATTACTGTCTAAAGGTTAAGAATCAAATCTTCAGTGGTTAACAAGCAGTTTGTTTCTTAACTTTTGTACACCAGTGTGTTATCACATTTTAGTAGATACTTACGAGACTAAGAATAAAACCAGACAACCGTGGCCATTAGTAAAATGAAGAGTATTCATTGCGCACAGCTTACTAGGATTAAG